CGGATGGGGAGTCGGGGCAATGCGGGCGGGAGGAAGTGGAGGGGGAAGAGAGGGGCATGGATGACTGAGAGGGCGGAAGGCCGGCGAGTCGCATTCACACTCTTTCTCCCGCCTCCCGCTTCCTCTCCCCCTCCTCCACCGCCTTCTCCTTGCCCTCTCCCCCCCCCGCCACCTTCCCCATCGCTGCAGCGGGTCCACTTGTTTTTTCAATTTCCTTCTGAAAGAATTTGGATCATGATCAAAATGTGCAACATCTATGATACTAATGATAGTCTAAAGAAAAGCAGAACTGGATGATCTGAATACCCGAAGAGATTTCCAAAAGCCAAAAACAACAACAACAGAGAGCCATCACCACAAAACATGCAAAACAACAAGAGAGGTGACCTGTCATACTCTTTCAATTTTTTTTTCCTATTTTCCTTTCAGTTATGGGTTCTAAGTTCTTCTAGCTTCTGCACTCCTTTGTACCAGATTATATGAATTTCAGAATCTTCAGATGAAATTCTTTTTTTTTATTTAACAGCACCACGACCTCCCCGGAGGTCACCCATCCCACTTGGCTTCCTAGTCCGGATGGGGGATCAGGCGCGTTAGCCGTGGCACGATTGTACCATGCGATCCTTTCTTTTTTTTTTTTTTTTAATATATGTGTCATCCTTGCGCAGACGCCATGCTAATCTTCTCTGTTTCCTTCCAATTTTATCTATCAGAGCGCTCTCGCCCCGTTACTCTTCAGCTGAGACCGAGGAGTGCGTTCATCAGACGGCTGACGGACGCTGAAACATCCATCTGCCTAGCATTCCCGCCAATTTTAACGTATGTCCTGAACCATCCCTCACATATAATTTTATATGAAATTCATATTGAATAGGATCATGTTCACAATCCGAAGGTCGTGAGTTTGTACCTCACATGTCCCGCCTCTCCCCCCTTCACCCCACCCCACAAAAAAATAAAATAAGATAAAATGAATAGGGTCATCATGTTCTTAATTTGCAAAATGTACCCCACTTCAAAGAAACCGAACCGAATGGATCTCAAATTTTCTGATTTCTGAATGCAGACACCTGGTCACACATCAATATTATGGTATCCAGCCAGACTGCCTTAAGGCAGCCGGCTGATTAAAATCATTGAACCCTCCAATGGATTTTTTTCCTTCTAAACGGTTCCATAAGGGACTCTGGGTCCATTTCCGAGCATGTGATGCTCCCCTAGACTAGATTGGTGCAATGTTGTTGTCAAAAAAAAAAAAAAAAAAAAAAAGGAACAAAAAAAGGTATCACCAACCCATGGGGCACAAACTCTTCAGAATCTGTAGACAACATGGAGACCAAACTAAGAATGACCTTGGGAGTCGGGACCAAAAAAAAGAAAAAAACGACAGAAAAAAAACAGGAAAGAACTTGGGACCATGATTTCATTTCATATCATGTCCCATACTTCAAAGAAAGAAAGAAAGAGTATAATCAGTATTAATAACCCAAAAAAAAAATTCAAATCTCCAGAAAGGAGGAGCAACCCCAAATCGGCATTTCACCCAAATCAACTCAACACAGGACGGCAGAAGCAACAGGAGATCTGACTTGTCGTACCGTTTCCAGTTCTAGCGTCTTCACTTTCCAGTTCTAGCGTCTTCAGTTTCCCGTTCTAGCGTCTTCAGTCCATCGTATCGGACTTGGTGTGTGACCTAAATTCAGACGAAATTCAGATTTGGACCAAATTCAGACCCATCTTGGACCATCATTTGAATTCGGACAAGTCCTCCTGCACTGGAATATCCGGTTCACAGTCTGAAAAGGCCGCAGTAGATATGACCCGTTGTACTTTCGGACAATCTTGCGCGGTAGTTTCCCCCGAAAGAACCACTTAGATTCTCAGAATCTTCCTCTCCAGTCATCTCAATTGGCTCTCCAGAATTTATTCTCCTCCCCCCCCCTCCAAGAACAACTTACTTCATTGTGTGCAGAGGAGGAGGAGGAGGGGGGGGTGGAGAGGGCTTGGGAGGGGGAAGGACGGGGCGTTGTATTAGACTTGGCAAAGGTCAGGGTCTCGACTCTAGAGACTCAGAATGCATGAGCATGTAAACACTATCTAACAAATAGGATATCACTAAGATGTCAAAAGGCATGAGACTACTAAGTGGGGGACAGCACCCCTAGGTTCTCGCCGTTATTATGGAGCCTGAATACCTCGAGTAATGTCAGCAGCAACTTTAGAAAGCCGATCGATGTACATGAGTTCCCCGTTCTGTGCATTTCGTACCCAACTTCAGCTGCTTCGGTAAACCGGACCCCAACGATCAATAACCTTTCTTAACCGACTTTGCCGGGCTGACGAGATTACTCACTTAAGCAGCTGCTTGAGTAGCTACAGCAAAAAATTACTTCCCAGCTTGTATGTGTTTCCAGTTCCCTTTGCGCTCAACATGCACGCTTGAGTGTGCTAAACGACAGTTGCTCCGCCGTCTCAAACTTGTAGTACAAACCTAAGTTCAAACTTGAGTACAAACCTAAGTTCAAACCTAAGTTCAAACTTGAGCACAAACCTAAGTTCAAACCTAAGTTCAAACTCGAGTCCAACAACTTGAGCTCAAAATTGAGTCCACAAACTTGAGTTCAAACTTGAGCTCAAAAACTTGAGTTGAGTTCAAAGAGTTCAGAAACTTGAGTTCAAACTTGAGTTCAAACTTGAGTTCAAACTTGAGTTCAAACTTGCGTTCAAAAATTTGAGTTCAAAAACTTAAGTTCAAATTTTGAGTTCAAACTTGAGTTCAAACTTGAGTTCAAACTTGCGTTCAAACTTGCGTTCAAAAATTTGAGTTCAAAAACTTGAGTTCAAATTTCTTGAGTTCAAATTTGAGTTCAAATTCGAGTTCAAACTTGAGTTCAGAGGGGATGTTCTTTCTTGTGCAGTTTCCATCCACCTCCTTGTTGAACATTCAACTTCTGAGAAGGGTCTCTCCGTAGAGTAGTTAACTGCGGTTAACTCCACAAACCGCATAGCATGGAGTAGTTAACTGCGGTTAACTCCACGAGCATTCGACTTGGATTAACACAAGTTGCAACTTGTGTTTGGATTGACACAAGTTACAGCTTGTGTTCTTCCGGTATGGCCGAGCATCATGTTGTTGAGTGGGGGCAACCCGTCGGGATGACTTTTAGCTTGTACTTGTCGACTTGTTAACGTGATCACCGTACTGAGGAGTGCTTCAAGGCTTCAAGCTTGAATTGCATTGAGGGTCCGGACTTCTCTGAAAACAACCTTCACTTCTTGAAGACCCGCAAATTTTGTACCAGGTTTGTCAAACGGCCCGAAAGCAAGACCACCGCAGAACAAACGCACGCAGAACGTGCTTCACACAGCAAGTTAGCATAAACAAAACAAGCAGGCCTCGTGAAGTTGTTTCTGCCATCCAGCCCCACTCCTTTCAATACCCCTCTGGTCCCCTCTCCTTTCAATACCCCTCTAATTCCTTCTCCAGCCTCGTGACGATGTAAATGATCTTCTTCAGACTTGCTCGGCCCAATGCTCACAACTCCCTTCTCCACTCTCCGTACTTTGTGTGACATCTTGAAAATTGCAACGACTCCTTCATGAGTAAGGGCATATATACACCAGAACTCCCCCAGGTGAATGTGGTAATCAATGTCGACAGATACGTCCAGTACAGTTCTGGTGTGAGGACGGGCACACACACACACACACACACACACACACACACACACAC